CATTTTCTTTCTAATGAAATGGTTGTTTATTTCTTTGATTACTATGATGCATGTCTTGTAATACTAAACGTGATGTCCTCCACCCCCGAACGTTTCCGCCGTTCCGGTTTTGGGGTTTGACATGAGTTTACGGCCATAAACTCATGTGTTGTGGCTGTAAACTCCTCATGATGGAGTTTATGGCTAGTTTGGAGGATTCTTGTTGGTTGCGAGAGAAAGGAGGTGATGTGTTAGGACAAGGGTAACGGGATGGAAACGTTTCTTGCTTTCCTTAGTCAGTTGGTATTGAATCCCTTTCCAGTCAGATGCTTATTTCCGAGTCACATGGGTCAAATTCTTATATCAAACAACTATTGTATTGTTGACCGAGTCAGCCCAATAGGTCTGACCCAACTCGGTCAGAGGAAAAACAAAAAGGGCCTTAGTTGGGAGAAAGTGTTGTCCTAAAATAAGGTTGGTGGTCTTGGGATTAGTAGTATTTTATCCCTCTTAATGTTCTTTTTTAGTATGGAGATTGGTTAACTTAGGTTTAGAAACTTCGGTAACAGAAATGTGTGAAAGATTACTTAGGGGAGTTTTCTTTGTAATGTTGTGTCATATGTGATTTTCCAGGAATAAATTGTTGTTTGGAAAGGATTAACCCAAAAATGCCCGTTTGTTTACTAACATTATCACGCGAGCATATTGATGGTGTAATAATAGGCTTAGGAGGACCTCTATTAATTGGATGAGTTGACTTAAAATTCCAATTTTGACCGTTTCCTAATGGTTTTATTTGCTAGTTTGTAGACTTTTTTTCTATTTCCTTGCTAGCGTTCTTTTATATAAAATTTGCGTCGTCTAAAAATAATATTTGCTAATTTAAATGGTGAAAGAGATATAACATTATTATTGTAATATATTATTAAACTATATTAAAAATTATTTATCATTTGATACTGTTTAATTAATTTTAACTATTAAACCACAAAATAAATACAACACGCAAAATTTGCGTTTCCTTATTTAATTAATATAAAACATGTTAGTGAAACTAAACGTGATTCATACAATTTTATATGTAGCTTTAGTAACGACAAGCGACACAAAACAACGTACCATATTTTGCTACTTCATTAGTTAAAAAATTTTAAGGTTTTTATTTTATATTTTATTAATCTTTTTAAAAGCAATGCAATGTTATCAATCGGACGGTTGTAAACTTCACTAAAATCTTTGTATGTATTTGAATACAACAAAAATTCAAAAGTATTTTGCGCCCTTTCAAAAATATACTAAGACAATAGACGAAAAATTGGAGAGTAATCATCAAGATATAATAACCTTTTTGAAACTTTTATTTAAATTATTTACGGATTATGTATATGTGGGTAATGTTCGGAACCGTTTTTATAATAAACTAGCAAGTAGCTAGGAAAAAAAGACATCACAACAAATTACAAGCTATAGGAGGATTATGGAGCCAAGATGTCCAACTAATTTTAACTTTTCTACACCTATTGAAGATCCAAAAAAAAAGATATGTCAATCACTTCATCAAGAATAAGAGATTTCCTGGGGTGAGTTGTTCCGAAAATTGTTGAGTTATGGAAGTTCCATAAACACCACAAGGCGGTCAAGATGACAGTATCAAAAGCTTGACGTTGCCCCTGTCTTAAAGAAAGAGAATCAGACCACGAAAGTAGTTGGTCAATCGAGGAAAATTGAGGAGTTTGGACGTCCCACCAGATAGCAACACGAGTCCATATCTCAATCAACTGATTACAATGAAGGAAAGGGTGATCAATGGTTTCAACGGTGTGGGAGCAAACAGGACAAAGAATCGTATCCATAGTAATCACACGTAGAGAAAGATTCTCTCTATTAGGAATGCTTCGTAACTGCAATCTCCAAGTAAAGATGTTCACCTTGATAGGCACCCAAGTATTCCATCTAGTTTCAGGACCCCCCGTATGTAACATGTGATTGTCCAAAAAAGTTCTGAGAGAAGAAACAGTGTAGGAATCAAAACCTTCAATAGTCCACCCCAAACGATCTGGAGCAGCATGAAGAAGAACCCCTTGCATTAAGGTAGTAAAATTGGTCCATTGAGTTTCCTCAATACCTCCTCTCGGAGTCCGCCTAAGACAATTAGAGTCCCATCCAAGAAGCACTCTATCTTTAACCGACATAGTTTTATTAGGATCAAGAGCATAAATCCTATGAAAAAAATCAACTAGGGGGGACTCCCCCTTCCACGCATCATGCCAGAAAGAAGTCATATTTCCATCACCAATCCTAATAGGGCTGAGAGGCCTGAGATCAAGATCACGATTATTTAGTTGCACCAGCATCCGAATAACACCATTCCAAGGACCAATCGATCCTCTTTTCTGGGAGAGAGAACTACAACCACCATCCAAACCATAGATAGCTTTGACAATTTTAACCCATATCAGATCCGGGTTATGAAAAAATCGCCAACGCCATTTATAAAGTAATGCCCTGTTGAACGAGAAAAGACTGCCAACACCAAGACCCCCTTCCTTTTTTGAGTTAAAACCCGATTCCAACGAACCCAATGCATGCATCTCTCATCAAGATCAGCACCCTAGAAAAACCTGGCTCGAAGAAACTCCAAGGTATTAACGATAGAGATAGGAACCATGAAGATAGACATCAGATAACTACCAAGGCTTCCAAGAACCGACTTGATCAAAGAGAGACGACCGCCTGATGATAAACATTTCGCTTTCCAACCTGAGAGTTTTGAGCGAAAATGGTCAACAAGAGGGGACCAAGCAGAAATCCGAGACATGTTCTGATCAACAGGGACCCCAAGGTGAATAAAAGGACAAGTATCGGGAGCACATCCAACCTTACGAGCCACCACCTCAACCTGAGCAAAAGGAACTCCCACTCCAATCAATTTACTTTTTTGTAAATTGATTTTTAGACCCGAAGCTAAGTAAAAGCATCTCAAGATACAAATGATACGAGAAACATTATTTGGGTTCCAAGTAGACATCAAGACAGTATCATCAGCATAAAACAAGTGAGAGATATCGATCCCACTGATAGAAATACCTCGAAACACGCTAGCATTATGAGTTTTCCGTAAAACAACATGAAGACCTTCCATAACCAGGATGAATAAAAAAGGTGATAGGGGGTCTCATTGTCGTAGACCTCTTTGGATTTGAAATTCATCAGTAGGGGACCCGTTAACAAGAATAGAAGCCCTACCAGACCGAAGAAGCTCCATGCTCCATGCACACCACAACTTACCAAATCCCATAATTTGCATAATCTCCAATAGGTAATCCCACAAGATCGAGTCAAAAGCCTTCTCAAAATCAACTTTAAAAATCATAAGAGGATTATTCGTAGAATTGCTCCAAGCAACCACCACATTGAGAAGAAAAGGGCCATCTAAAATTTTTCTGCCTTTAACAAAAGCAGACTGCTCCAGACTAATAACAGAACCAATAACCTCTGCCAACCTATTAGCTAAAAGTTTACCAATAATTCGATATTGGCACCCTATTAGACTAATAGGTCTAAAGTCCTCCCAAAGACCTTCAATCATGATACCTCTAATAGCAAGTTGTCACCTCTTCCGATTAATAACGCCATGAAAAAAACTAGAATTCTCATCCCCTTCTATGGCCCACTGGATCTTCGCTTTCTACGCCAACTCGACTCTAGAAAGATGATCCAAGTCAGTCAATTATTTAATAGCGGAAACCCTTTGTTCACGAAGATCATAACTACCCCCATCAAGCATAAGAGAAGCATCAATCTCTTCAACTTTATCTTGGAGAGTTTTCCTTTTACTAACGAAACATTCACGAGCACTAGAATTCCTTAATCTTAGATTAGATTTAAGAAATTATAGCTTCTTCTTAAAAATAACCCAAGGATTATCATTCAACTTCCCAACAACATTGGAGGTCCAAGAATTATGGACAACTTCATCAAAACCGACCTGCTCAAACCAAGAATGAAAAATACGAAAAGGAGATGGACCGTAATCCACCCGATGCTCTAGTAATACAATAGGACGATGATCAAGGATATTTTTATCTAGAACCAATCCCATAATGTGAGGAAAATGCAGCATAATACCATCAGAGACCAAAAAACCATCAAGTTTAGAGAACTTAGATCCCCATTTATCGCTCCATGTATAACGAGGCCCACCCATAGGAATATCCATTAAATCATTATGCTCGATAAACTGGTTAAAAATTCTTGCTGGGATATAGTGGAATTGAGAACCAAACCTCTCATACTCATATCTGACTTCATAAAAATCTCCCATAACCACAAATTCTCCAGAAAATGAAGAGATCAAGTTAGAGATTTCATCCCAAAGTTTTCTTTTACTGTCAACACTTTAGGGAGCATAAACGGAAATTAGTAATACATCCATTTTAGAAACAACCCAATTTCCTTCCACTGCCACATACCAATCGGAGATAATAACTTTGTTATGAATAAAGGTATTTGAGTCCCAGATAACCAAAATACCTCCCGAGGCACCGCGAGAGGGGGAGAAAGAGTGCGAAAAAGCAAGGTTACCCTAAAAAGATCGAGCAAGAGAGAGGTCAATTGACTCTTTTTTCGTTTCTTGAATAGCCAAAAAATTGACTTTAAATTTGACACATAGAGATTCAATCGCATGCCCGTTTCTCAACAGAACTCGCTCCTTGAATGTTAATGGAAAGACAATTCATTTCTAAATGATTTTTCTAACTCACTCCTCTTGAATAGGGTTTTTAACATGTTCCGAACAGCTATTCATATTAAAACCAATATTTTCTCTCACTTCAATCGTTTTTTAGATTCAAACTCACCTGAATCGGTGTTAAAGGAGCCTTCTGAGAACACTTCATTCTCACCATGGATAATGTTAGAAAAACCAGGAGGATGGGATAAGACATCATCCATATATGGAATGCATGGCATACGAATAAATCCTCCAGAAAAACCAACAGGAGCTTGCTTATGTAAAGTGCCTATTTCATTTTTTGTAACCCGGAGTGAACACTGTGAACTGAATTGGTCTCAGAATTCACAGCAGGAGCTACTGTGATGTTGGTAAAAACATCATGGGTTGTTTGAGGGTTGACAACAGGAGCAGCGACTTCATGCGAGACTTGAGCAGTATCGACGACAGTTGGGCGAGTGGCATCTGTTCCAGGGGCAGTAGAAGAATTTACTTGCGATGTAACAAGTGAGCTGGAGGCACGACAATTGGCGGTATAATGGTAATGGACATTTTCTGTTGTTGAATTCCCATATTGCCCCTGCAGCCCCTCTTTCTTGCTTTTATTCTTTTTAAAATTACCCCAACTATTATATCATTTTTGAATATCATTATTGACTTCGTCTACTTTCATCTTTTCAATAGCATCATAAATTCCGAACGGGTCTGATGATACTTCTTCATTCCTCTCAGCATATTGAAGATGTTCATTATTATGTTCACTACTTTGTATATCACTGTTATCTAGTTCTGGAGAAGGAAAATCATGAACGAAGGAGGGTGTCCACCCAGGAGCTTCGTTTACTCTTATCCAATATGTAATCTTATAAACACAAACTTTGATTACCTCTGAAATTATAGTTTTGATAGAAGTTAGAATGCAGATCCTGTTCTTGTAGATATCTTCTCCCAGATCATCATCAAGCTGGGCAATTATTCCCCATCTAGAGAGAATTTTTCTGAATGAATCTTTGCTCCAAGCAGAAAGAGGAAGTCCTTCAACATCAACCCATACTAAACGTTCTGAGGGAACGAAGTTTCGATCCAATGGTTTTTTCTCTGCAATCCAATGATCTATTGTTATGCTACTCAAAAAGTTTTTACAAGCAGTTTTGGAATTAAACGCAATCATTACCCACAAACCTCCAACATATCTAATTTCAAAAGAATCAAATCCCTCGTCCATGCATAGCACCCGAAGATTGGGAAGTGTGGAGAAGTCTCTTGCCTTAATAAGGCATGTTGTCTGTTTTTTCTCAACTATGAAGTCCCCAGGAGTGAGTTCAATTATTTCTCCCGTGTTCTTACTGTTTTTCGTGTCATGGAGTGAACCTCGGACCACATTAGCATAAGATTTTACCCAGTCATCACTTTGCACTGCTGTGGAGAAGATAATGGGTTGAGAAGTTTGACTATTATTTGCTAAGGAATGAGGGAGGGATGCAAACAATTTATAAGAGCCAAACCAAACTTCACGAAGTTGAATGATCAGGGAGTCACAATCAAGAACTCTACAAAACCTAATAAAACCAAATCTTTTCCCCGATTTTGATAGCTTTTTAGCAATAAACACACCAACTATGTGCCCTAGTCGATTACATGCTCGACCACAAACCCTCTGAATGTCTCCAATTTGAACAAAGTCCAAAAAATTGGTGATAAATAAAGAGATTACATCAGAATTTACGTGACTTTTTCTTGGATCATAACTGGTACGGTGAACCCTGTGATATCCATGCATGTTCCTGTTTCTGTGACTAACAGTCGTCCACGAGTTATCCCCCATCGAGAAGTTCTGGAGTCACCGGCGTTTGATCCTGCCGGTGCCTGATTGATGATCGAAGGTGTTATTGGGGCCGAAATCCCTTTTGTAAGTTTTGTATCATATTTTAGGGAAAATTATAAAAAAATCCTAACATATTGGCTTTATAATCAATTTAGTACTTACATATATTTTTTATTCAATTAAGTCCCAAAAACTGATAATCGTATTCAATTTGACAATTTTACATGTTCAACATGTCATCCAATTTTTAAAACTAGATTTCAAATTTTTTACAAATATGGTCAAAATTTTATACTTTTGGCCCAGATTTCAAATTTTATTACAAATTTGGGCTAAAATTAACATTTTTTATCCAAATTTCAGAATTTTGTTACTAATTCATCATAACTTTAGTTTTTTTTTTACAAAATTTTTTCTCAAAAAAAATCTGCATATATTTTTTCTTTATAAAATCATATTTATACAAAAAATAAACATATTTTCACATAAAAAATCTTATATTTTCTATATAAAAACTTTTCTTTATACAAAATACTTAGTACAAAAATAGGTACTTATTAAGTACATAAATATATAAAAATACATTTATATATATATATATATATATATATATATATATATATATATATATATATATAAACACGTATTTTACAAGAAAAAATGTATACAAACATCTATTTTATTATAAATACATTTTGTAAAAACATATTTGTATGCACCCAATTAAGTGTTTGTATACATTTCTTTTATAAAAACATATTTCTATATTTTTCATAAACACCTATTTTATAATAAACGCATTTGTATTCAAACATATTTAAATATAAAATAAATACAAACACATATTTTATAAAAATATATTCAACCACGTCTTTATAAATAAATGTATAAAAACATGTTTATATATATATATATATATATATATATATATATATATATATATATATATATATATATATATATGTTTTCGATAAAAATCATCATTTGAGAAGTAATTATCAACAATTAAATTATCTTTTTAAATATATACTCTAAATAATTATTATATAAGAATTATCATCATAGAATAATAACTCATATTTAAAATTCAAAATGAATTTTGATCACTGATAAATAATGTGTCTTAAAATTTAAAAAAAATATATGCGTCTTCAAATTAAACAATGTATTCAAATAAAAGGAACCCACACAACATTATATTTTTGTTTTAAACACAAAAGAATATATCAAAATAGGTTAAATTTCAAGTTATAAGTTACTCTCTTCTAAAACAAATTAGGTTTCACTGTTATGGATTTACTTTTTATGTGAAAATATGTTTTTCTTTTTAATAATCATAATTTTTTTTAAAGAAAAACATATTCGGGAATTTTTTTGAGAAAAAAATGTTGTAAACAACTAAAGTTACAATGAATTATGTAACATCCCGGTTTTCAGGTATGAGCTTTATTATTTTAAAAGTCAAGATTCCCTTGTAACTCGTCGAGATGAAGGGCTCAACTCGACGTGTTGAAAGGCCTTGGGTCGCACATCTTTTTGGACCAACTTAATGAGTTGGAGAGGCAAACTCGACGAGTTGGTGGCTGTTTATAAAACCCTAATTTTTAGGGTGTTGCACCCTATTTAAAGGCCTTAAGTCCCATGTATGGCCTCCCTAATTGCCTCCTCTGTCCATAAACCCTTATTTTCGTGCATCCTCTCCCAAGTTGAGTGTGTGAGCTTGAAGTGTTGGTCCTTTTGGTGTTCTTTTGAAGGAACTTGAGGTTGGAAGTGTATAGATTTAAAGGAATGCTTCAGATCTAGAAACTTTTTTAGTATTACAGTTCTTTTGAGGTAAAAAGTCAACAACTTGCTTATCTATTGCTTAGATATCTTCCTTGGAAGTTTATTGTCATATCTGGCTCATTTTTTTGATTGTTCATGGATTGAGTATTCATGAAGTTATCACTTCAGGTTTGGAGGTTTTCTGGTGTGACATCCCCAAAATCACGGCAAGAAAAGACCGATTTCATTAATGTTTTTTAAAATAATTTCAGAGTAAATCCTTTTGATTTAAAAGTGTTGCGGAATTTGTTCCCAAAACAAAACATGATAAAATAATATTTATCAAAGCATTTCATCAAGAGATGCATTTTCATCATATAATCAAAACTCGGGATGTCATGTTCCGATACAGACCATAAAGCATAAACGATAACATTACAAGTCATTCAACAAATATATACATATACAGACTTGTAAACAAAACAACTCGATGATTCATCCATCTTACGCCCTTGCGCCACTTCCTGTAATACAAATAAAACTGAGTGGGTCAGGCTTGGGAGCCTGGTGAGCATATAGGGTTTTCAACCAACAATAAATAAATTATATTTAATTTCACCAACCAATCACTATCCCGATTACCCATTCCCGTTATCCTCACTTTACGTCCCTAAAACAACATCTATCTCAAGGGACCTAATCTAGGATTTTCATCGGGACGGACATTACTGCTAAGGGTTTTCCTCAACAATAGATATCCTAAAGGCAACCATGAGGGGGATAGAGTACACCGGTGAGCACATCGTTCACTACACCTACATGTTATGAACCTGCTAGCGTTCCACGAGACTGTCTAGAAGGAGTCTGTGGTCATTATCCATACTCCGCTGAATAACTAGGTCAACAACAACAACATCGAGGCCTCTCATCTGTTTATTACACACCAACTATCTACCCATGTTCTACCCAACATATTAGTAGATAAAAATATATATTTTTATACATAGTTTAAAACCTGTATATCATTTTCATTCAATATATATTCCACATAACAGATGAGGCACACCCACATAACACGTATTTCATAGAAAACAAATCAGATCTATGAGATTGAAGAGAGTGAATATACATTCACGCACATAATAACAAAATTATACACATAACACGTATTTCATATAAAATACTTCATAATTATGCGTTAGAAGAAAGTAACTACACACTCACTTGATCAAAAGATGATCGGACAGCACTACAGCTTGTAGAAGTAGTATTCTTCGGCAAATCTGGAAGATCTCTACAAAAATCGAACTTCTCGCGGACAGAGCTTCGGCTCGGGAATCGCACTTCTCGGGATCTCCGGGGCTTCGAAACTTGCTTCGGGGCTCGGGAATATTACCGAGGCTTCAGGGTACTTCTGGAACGCAAAACGATGCAAAACGGGAGAAAGAATAGATAAAAAGAGCAAAAGAACTCGGCAGCCTCACATCCTATTTATAGGAGGCTGGAGCCTCGCCATACACTGGGCGTACGCGTCCGAAACGTCATGGCGTTCGTCATCCGAAGAACTCGAGTGCGAGGGACGTCACGCCTCGCTGTACGCTGGGCGTACCTCGGATAAGCTCGGTGACTCCCCTTCGGATAAGGCCAAATTTTATAATTAAATTTTAATATTAATTATTTAATAAATTTTGAAAATTCATATCTTCTTCATACGAACTCCATTTTCGATGTTCTTTATATCGTCGATGCTAATCGATAAGGTGTTTTTGCTATTGGCGTGGTTCCTGGTAACAAGTCAATTCTGAACTCCACTTGTCTATCAGGTGGTAATCCAGGAAGATCTTCGGAAAATACTTCCAGATAATCACACACCACAGGAATACTCTGCATCACCTTCTTTTCCTTCTCAGCATCAATCACGAATGCTAAATATGATGTACATCCCTTGGTCAAACACTTTCTGGCTTTCATTAGGGAAATGATTCGAGAATTCACTCGGCGTTTGTCCCCATACACCATAAACGAATCTTTCCCAAGAGGGTTTACTTTAACTATCTTCTTCTTGCATAAAATTTCGGCATCATTGGCGCTAAGCCAATCCATTCCCAACACGATGTCGAAACCATTAAGTTCGATAGGTAATAATTCCTCGTGAAACTTATTCCCATTAAGGTCAATTAAGATGTTTTTCATACGATGGCTAACAGGTACAAACTTGCCACTAGCAACTTCGACTAATAAAGCATTATCTAGTCTATCAACAGGCAAAGCTTGTTTTCTACCAAATTCATGCGATATAAAGGAGTAGTTGGCTCCAGAATCAAATAAAATTTGGGCAGGCAAATTGTTAACGAGAAAGGTGCCTGAAGCGACATCAGCTTCATCTTTAGCAGCTTCTAGTGTCATCTGGAATGCTCTCACCTTTGGCTTTGGCGGAATGTTAGGTCTAGCTGCCTCCTTCTTCTTCGGGCAGTCCCTCGACATGTGTCCCTCCTCACCACAACCATAACAAACTTTCTTAGTGAGGGTACATTCATTGGCATAGTGACCTGGCTTTCCACACTTGTAGCATGTGGCCACTACCTCACATTTTCCATGATGCTTATTCTTACATTTGTCGCACCATTTTGCTTCACCTCCATTTCCCCTCGAACCAGACTTCGAGAACTTGTTTTTCTTATTGGACCCTGAAGTTCCATCGAACTTCCTCTTTTCACCAACTTCTATCCTTTCCAAACCCTTTTCCTTCTGCTGGGCCTCCACATTCTTAGCTGCACGAACAGTCATTTTTAGAGTAGTTGCCATCTTGACTATCGGACCAAAGTCGGCAGGCAGTCCATTAGCAAACCTCTCAATCTTCGAGAGTTCCGTTGGCACTAGGTACGGAAATAAATTCATTTTCTCAGTGAATGCAATAGCATAGTCATCTATGATCATCCTCCCCTTCTTCAAGTTTTGGAACTCATTGTTCAGATCAATTAGATCTATCTCTGAACAATAATGCACCCTTAGTTGTTCCAAGAACTCCTCCCATGACATTTTCAGGGCTTCCCCTCATGGCATAGTATCTGCCAACAACTTCCACCAACTCAATACTCCAGTCTTCAGTTGTCCAACTGCAAAGACAGTCTTCTGTTTGTTGCTATAGTCGCAACTTTCAAATACCATCTCCATTTCGGAGATCCAATCCATTATCTCAACAGGCTTTGGGCTCCCAGAAATACTTGGCGGCTTGG